GATGGATGGATGGATGGATGGATGGATGGATGGATGGATGGATGGATGGATGGATGGATGGATGGATGGATGATGGATGGATGGATGATGGATGGATGAAATCTGCTACTCACCAAAACTCGGTCTCCAACACGCAGGTCTTTATCTCCAGCTTTTTTCACAGACCCGCTGTCCGACAAGTTAGAGCCCGACTCGTTTCCTGTTTTCACCGCACTATTGAGGAGCCCCTCCCTGAGCGGCACCACCACCCTCTGGCCAGCAGGGGCGCCGCTGCCTCCCTGCTGACTCTGATTCTGTGTGGAGTCGGTGGAGTGGCCGTCGCTCCCCTCTCCGACCGGCTGGCGGGTGAGCTTGGAGGGGCGGGTGAAGATGCCCTGGAGGGGCTGGCACTCGAAGTAGCGCACGCCGCCCACTGACCCGTCATTCTTGCCAACTAGGTCGTTCAGTATTACCCCAGCCCACTGTCCGGGGGCAAACTGGGTCTCCCCGAGGTAGGCGATGACTCCAGGTTTGACGCCGTTCACCCAGACATGTTCACCAACAGTGTAGTCTCCTAAAACATCGTCACCTTCCTCTGATATCTTCGCCGGAGTGATGGGCCTCAGTGGAGTACCTGAGAACAGAGACATCACACGTCACCTGCACCGTTTATTCCACTGCTCTGTGATCTTACCTTCACCCGTCTAACTGTCGCTCCTGCAGAGAAAAACAAAGAAAACTGCCTGCGTGGCAACATTCAGCACACAGTGCATTATGAAGATTTGTTGATACGGTAATTCTTTGTGAAAAGTGGGTCACAGAGACGGTATCAGTGACAGGCCGGTGATTAACCCCGCCATGCTGCCTGGGTTGTTGCTGGTTTGACACAAAGATGAGCTGAATCTCAGCATTTTTTCCCCTTTACACAGCAATCTCCAAGCATGTGGTCTGGTACACACTATTCCCTATCTAATAGTGGTTATGACTAATTCAGTTTCTATGTAAGGTAAAGATTCATGAGGCTTATTGGACCAAAAGGAAATGTAGAAATTCAATGTGTCAGTTGAAGTGCTACTCATTGAAGTCAATGTGAAAATGAAAAAGAGAGATCATATCTCTCCTATCCTGGCTTCTCTTCATTGGCTTCCTGTTAAAT